TTGTTGTGCTTCTATTTGGTGACCACTAGTGAGTTGGCTATTTACATTACGTATTGCCTTACCTAATCTATTAAGGGCCGGTTGTTCAATGTCTGATTAGCTCAAATCGGAGGTAGAAGCTCCGGTTAAGTACAACGGCTGCTTTATCGATCACATGTTACATGCATCATGTCGAAATCGTCGATAGTGTAGTGGTAGTGATAACCAGACGGTGAACAACCGGCCCTAAATGTTAAACTGTGTTCAAATACCTCAGTAGAATTCACAACATTGGCGTTTAGATTTTTTATTTTAGATTCGTTTCCACCCATTTTATAAAAAATATAAAATATATAATATTTAATAATAATAAATTAAGGTAATAATAAATTGTTAGTAATAAACGGCAAGAATCTTTGATCCTTGCCGTTCAATAGGCAGCCGTTGGGTTACCAAAATATTTTGTTAGTATAGTTTAGGGTTAGGCTAAACAACATCCGTAAACCTAGCTGACCCAAGTCACAAAAAATCAATCAAAATTAGCTAGAAATTAGGTTTCTTTTAGGTGTAAATTAGGGCCTCCAAAATTAATTTAGGTGGTCCTTTGTTTTCCGAGAAATTCGGACCCTAGCTGACCCATCTTTAAATTTAGGTTTTAAAATTTCCAAATATATGCTGGAATTAGGGGTCTTTTAGGAGCCACTAAAACTAATTTAGTAGCTCCATTGGTTTCCGAGAAATTCGCAAAAGTGTTTTTTCATCTAGCTTAGCGCTGTTAACCTAAATCTTTAAATTTTTGTTTTAAATTTTCGAAAAACATATATGCAGGAATTAGGTGTCTTTTAGGTGTTCTTCAACGCCACTAAAACTAAGGTAGCTAGCTGACCCACACATTTTTTCCAATTTCTAGGAAACCAATGGAGCTACTTAAGTAGTGCTGAGAACCTTTGTTTACAAATTGAGCAAACTAAATAGTGTCGTTACACATATTTATGTAAATTTGTGCAAATTAAAATGAAATAAAAGCAAAAGCGAGTTTATAAAAACATGGTAAAAATGAGTACAACGAGTAAACTGGCAGGAGTAGAAAATGTTTAATGTAGAGAAATTTGTCTGTCTACAGATTTATTAAAAACTTCCGACTGTCTAAAGAGGCGTTTGTGAACTAAATAAAATAATACTTTTGAGGAGGGCTGCCACCTATTTTTATTTTAGCTCAGTTAAATTGACAAAATAAATGAAATATTGCAATGTGGGTATTAAACTTTAGATTTTTAAGAAGGATTACAACCGAAAATAAGTTTGAGGAGGGTTGCCACCTGTTGGAAAATTTGACTAAATATAATTGATCAAATAAATGGCTTATTACAATAAAGGTATACAATTAAAGAAGTTTAAAAAACAGACTGTAGGAAATATTTTTGGGGAGGGTGCCACCTATTTGAAAATTTTAGCTCACTTAAATTGATAAAATAATTGAAAAATTGCAATGTGGGTAATAAACTTTAGATTTTTAAGAAGGCTTGCAGTCGAAAGTATGTAGGTAAAGGGTTGCCCCCTGTTTGAAAATTTAACTCAATTCAATTGATAAAATAAATGACTTTATTACAATAAAGGTATCAACTTAAAGACGTTTAAAAAACATGACTGTTGGTAATATTTTTAAGGAGGGTTGCCAACTATTTGAAAATTTGAACCCAGTTAAATTGATTAAAGAAGTGAAATATTGCAATATGGGTATCAACCTAAAGAGCTTTAAGAAGACTTACGGTCGAAAATATGTTTGAAGAGGTTTGCCACCTGTTTGAAAATAAAACTCTATTAAATTGATAAAATAAATGAAATGTTACAATATGAGTACCAAACGAAAGGTATTTAAGGAATCTTGATTTGGAAATACTCTCAATAGAATTACGCAATATATAAAAGTAAACTGAAAATATTCGAATTAAATGAAATATTACATAACTGGTTCGAAACGGACAGCGTTTGGGAAAGCTTTACAAGAGAAATTTTTTGTTAATGTTCTCACGTATCCAAATCCAGATAGTTAAAATGAAGAGAGAGTTTACAACATCTTATCAAACGAAGAGATCATATTATCAACGAAGATTTGGTATACAAATTACGCACAGAAAAAAATTAATAAATAACAACTGATAGAAATTAAAAAATTATAAAAAGCGTAACGAAAACATAAAAATATCCCATGAAATGAAATAATGAAAACTTAAAATGTTTATCACCATTCCCTTACATTAACACAGTTAACAGTTAAGTTTTAATCATAAACAATTTCGTTTGGGGTCGCCATAGCCTACTAAGTATATTCCGAGTAAAGAAATTTTTAATAACAATAGATAATATTATTATGATTATTATTATTATTACTATTGCGAACTCCTATTATATGCGCAAACAGACATTCTCAAATTAAAGCTAAAGCAGAAGGGCATTTACGATCGCATGATGCAAGTGTTAATATAATAAGAGCTGCGTGTAATTTCTGTCGTGTGCCGATGACATCGACATCATCGGTAACAAAAGCCTCGAAGTCTCTTCTGCCTTTCCAAGTTGGATAACGAACGATAACAACATCAAATAAACAGTCTGTGCAGTTGGCACTCACGTCACTGTTGCCAGTTGTAATTTCGAGAAAGTAAAGAATTTCGTTTACTTGGGAACCAGCATTAACACCGATAATAATGTCAGCATATAAATCCAACTCAGAATCACTCTAGCCAAAAAGTGCAACTTTGGACTGAGTAGGCAATTCGGGAGTAAAGTTCTCTCTCGACGTACAAAAACCACACTCTATAAGTCACTCATCATTCCCGAGCGGGTTTATGGCGCAGAAGCATACACTCGGAGGTTTGCCATTGCCTGCCGAGGGACGACCGCTGTTAGGAAAAAACCTTTTTTCTAAATTTTTGCGATTTTGCTTTGACCAGGGTTTGAACCCAGGTGTTGCGGAGTGGAAGCGCGCACTGCTTACCACTACACCACAGCGGCCGACTAAAAAAGGAAAGGACTATTTACCAGCAATAAAATGCAAGTAAATTTTGACAGCTGCCTTTGTTGCATAGCGCCACTTGCGACCGGATAAAATAGACTAAGGAATTTTTAGCGAAAGGAGGACAGAACTGCAATTTCTCGGAGAAAGTTAGAATCCGGCTGCTGGTCGACACTGTTGGCTTTTTGATTTCAAAAATAACTTCATCATCAAGAAACGCGATGTTTTAGCATCATTTCCAATTTTTTCCCATAATTTTCGTTTTCTTTTACAAATAGTTGCAAAAAATACTCGGCTTTTCTTTTAAGAGTTTCATGGAACTTTCGCAAATATCATCAGCACCAATCTTTACCAACATGGTTGACAACCGAAGAAAGATTTTTTATAAGGCCATAAAATAACAAAAACGAAAGTTTTTCTTTTTTCGAACATCCAAGCAGCCAAACTTCAAACAAGTCGCCTTTTGTAATAGCATGATAACCCAGAATACACAGTTTCTTGAAAACGGCTAGAAACGGCGGCTTAAGTAAAATACAATCTACTCATTACATGTTAATTTATCTATTCCCCTTTCTCTTTTGTTTGCCGAAGGTTAAAATGGGAAAAAATCTGAAAATGTTTGAAGTTATGCAAAGATGTCAGTTTCTTTGCAAGCAAGTGATATAAAGTTAATTTTTTTTAAATGGGATATAGGTACTCACTTATATTTGTGTCTTCCAACTAAAATTTTCCTTTAATTATTCGAACTTTATAAAAAAAAAAATGCACTTGAATCTTAAGACATAAACCACCGGTTGCGCAAACAACGTCTCAATAACGTTTTGAAAGTGTAACTTTGTTTGATTGCCGTTTACCGTTGCTTTTTATAAAAAAAAAGTAACGCTTTTGTTATTTTGGAGTATTCCCTATCGAATGGCAACAAAAAATATTGTACAACTGCGTTTACGAAACTGGACTTTCGCAATGAATCATTTGACCTAATGCGCGGTGGAAGGGCCAAAGATCACTTCCTTAGCTACCATGGCATTGAACTTGCCATGTTAAGAGCTCGAAGTGTGTTCCAAGCGCTAAAATAAGACGTCTTTGATTGCCTCGTCACTTTTTCATCGGGGCGTGGGCGCAAATAAACGAGATGTTTAAGAATCTTGTTTTGCTGCGGATTGTGGTGAGATAGTACTCGGCGACGGAGTCTCGCTCCCGCTACAAATCCGGCACCGAATTTGTGCTCCTTTACGCGGCAGCTGTAATAGACGTCGGAAAGTCCTATCGTTTTTCTACCTTGCCTCATCTTGCGCATTTATTAGATAATGGTGATGTCAGCCTTAGTCTTCTCGAAGAATTAAACCGGCCGGGCATTCCAGATATGCCTCCAAATCTCTTCCAAACATAAATCCTCAGCAGCTTGATCCGTATGCAAAAGAATGGTTTTTGGCCACTATCTGGTGATTGCGAAAGTGAACCCGGAAGCACCGTCCAGTTCTGTCGGTTGCAGAAATTGAAAATAAATTTTTCTTGACTCTTGTGATAAAACAGAACCAAGTAACTAGAAGCTACTTTCTATTTTCGAATTCTTAAAGAACAACATTTTTTTCTATCTTGCTTCCAGCAACCATAAAGTAAAATTGAAATACAACGAGGTACGAAAAATATATGTGAAAATCAAGATTAGTTACACAAAACCTTAATTTTCTCAACTTTGAAAAAAAAAACAAGTTACTTGGTTCTGTTCTATCACAGGAGGAATGCATTCGTCTCATTTATGAAGGTTCCATTTCTACCACATATACACACATCTCCTTTTTCATTTGTATGCATTTTCTTTCACAAGATCAACTAATCAAAAATTACACGAAAGATTTAGCTTTTTGTTCTCTAAAATTCTATAAGTATGAAGGCAATGTATTTAAATCATAACCAAAAATGATGATACTCATATTTTTTCATTCGACTTTCATTAAAGTAATGCAGCTTTTATATATTTAATTTTCAAAACAACTGTGTTTTCCAGGTTCCTGGCCGAATGTTTCCAATTGAAATCGATTATGAGGACGAGAAGACAATTGATGACCCGGAAAAATTAAAAATTAAATCAAAGCTGGATACATCCGTTCAAGAATTAATGAAGCTTTTATTTGACATTGACACTATGAAAAGAACAATGATGCTATTTGATCTGGATATGGAAAAAATGCCGTTAGGAAAACTAAGCCAAACACAAATTCAATCTGCATACAAAGTGCTGACTGAAGTTTATGAACTTATACAGCAAAATGAGAGTAAACCCAAGTTCATTGATGCCACTAATCGATTTTATACTTTAATACCACATAATTTTGGAGTTCAAGCTCCCCCACTTTTGGATACTATTGAACAAGTCGAAAACCATCGCCAGGTCCTTGATTCGCTTTTGGAAATTGAATGTGCTTATAGCATGTTGCAAGCTGAAAGCAAAGAAGAGGATGTAAATCCTTTAGACAAACATTATGATCAACTTAAAGCTAAAATTGAGCCCATTGATAAAAATAGCGAAGAATTTGAAATCCTCGAAACATATGTCCGAAACACCCACGGTGAAACGCATAGAATGTATAAGCTGGAAATCGTTGACATATTTAAAGTAGCACGTCAGGGCGAGACCCGACGTTATAAACCATTTAAAAAGCTCAAAAACCGAAAGTTACTATGGCACGGTTCTCGACTTACAAATTTTGCTGGTATTTTGTCACATGGGTTGAAAATTGCACCACCGGAAGCTCCTGTTACAGGCTACATGTTTGGAAAAGGAATATACTTCGCAGATATGGTCTCAAAATCTGCAAATTATTGTTGTACTACATCTCAAGATCCTACAGGTCTAATGCTTTTATCCGAGGTAGCACTTGGCGACATGATGGAATACACCTCTGCAAACTACATTACAAAATTGCCATCAAACAAACACAGCGTTTTAGGCCGTGGACGCACCATGCCTAATCCAAAAGAGTCATACAAACGAAAGGATGGTGTAGAGATACCACTTGGCAAACCAATTACAGATGCGAAACTAAATTCAACTCTTCTTTACAATGAATATATTGTCTATGATGTTGCTCAAGTTAATATCCAGTACCTCTTCCGTATAAATTTTAAATACAATATCTAAACAGAAAATGTGAAAATCATATTATTTAAAGTAAAACGGGATTTTTAAATAAATCTGATAACAAAGTGTAAATGTACAAGATGTTTTTGGTTGTCAATCACGACTGGCTTTATTTGAGTATTCATATTCTAATCTACCTATGCTATTTCTTATTTTCTAATTTCTTAAAGCTAAATTGTTGACGCTGCATTTGTATTGACATTTAGTCAAGTACATGCATTCGTTCCCACGTTTGTACATTTGCTGCTGCTGCTATTGTGGTTGGTGTCAAGTGGCACCTTCCACTACATATGTTAACTACCCTCCCCCGCAAATGCGGTTGCCCTCAGCAACAATTGCTTCCAAGCGGGCTCTAATATGTTCTCTGCTTTTGGCAATGTTCATCGTTAACAAACTATGTTGAAGCTGACAGAGTCAGTTTTTAATTTGATAATTCTGGGCTTTAACTTCATATACAATACTACTGTGGTCTCGCGCGAAAGAAAAAACAAATTTAATGTGTCACTATAATATTTATTTCTTACAATTAATTTATGATTGCTGTGAGTATTGCAATTACACCATACCACATCCATTTGCTATTTTCAAGAACGCCTTTTATCTCTTTAACTCGCTCGTTATTTCGAATATGCAGTTTATGAAGGAATGGCAATGATAGGTGTTTTTGTTGACTTGTCTCATTTAAAATAGTTTTCTTAGGAGCTAGGAGCTCAATAATATCGATCTGATGATTTGCTTTGAACTTCTCTCCATTCATCGTAAGAGATTTTTCAAATGTAATTAACAGGGTTCCATTAGCTCTAATCATTTCTCCATTTTCTTCGATGTCTAGCTTACTGTTGCGTGCGATGATTAATCCGTCTCTAATTACTTCAATCTCTTCTAAGTGGTCCGCCACCGTAGTGGGACAATTTGCTGTATGGTTGTTTAGAAGTTGTAAAAGGCAAACATCTTGCATATTAATACTACAATAGTTATATCCTACAGATTGTCTGCAATTTTCTAATGGATATTGGTTTCCCTTACATTTAGCAGTTAAATTATTCTTTAAATACAACATTTTGTTATTTTGAGCCACAGGACTTATTTGATATAATTTGCAAACTTTTGTTATTTGAGGAATTCGTTCGTTCGTTTTGGTAATACATTTTTACATCTGAAATTTTAATATTATCGGACATGGGTACAAGTGTGTTTTCCTTAAATTCTATCAAACTGATTTCTTCTGTATTTAAAATTAGTGGGTTTACAATATTATATTTTGCTAAGGCTACACCATACAACATGTTTTTTTTAAATTATCAATAACTATTCTATTTATTCGTGCCATGAGTAGAGTGACCACTTCATAATCAATTGCATTTCTAGTATTGGTATTGTTAATTCTGTCTGTTATTTCATCAATTTTTTGTTGAATTTCTTTGTTTATTTCTATTTGTCTATTTCCAGCCCTTATAATTTCCTTTTCGGTAGCTGTCAAAATTTGTAAGTCTTGATGGTCGGGGACTCCAGCCACAAATTTAAGAGCAGGCCCCAGGATGGCACGTCGAGTCATACCGGGTCTCCTGAGCATGCGAACTAAGTCGTCCATCTCGTCCAGGTCCTGTTGTAGTAGTTCTTTTTGTTTTTAATTTTTAAGAGCTGCTTTCATATTTATGTTGTCCAAAAAACCTTCTTCTATGACTGTAAAGTTTATAGTGTGTTTCAAATAAATTAAATTCTGAAAAATTGAGGTTCCCCCTGATAGTATCGGAATAAATAGAGCTGTTGAGTAGTCCACGATTCTCGTTGCCACTACCGGCACAAGGACAACCCTGCAATGTAAATGTCCTATTATTTTTTACATGGTTTAAATACTCTTGGTTTTTTTCTTTATTATGGTAACTTAAGTCCTTTTCCTGTTTCATTTTTAAACGATTCCTAATTTCTTTTTTAACTTCTTCAGTTGAATTGTATAATAGTTCTTTTGGCTTATATTTGGTAACTGAATGAATTGAGTTATTGTATTTGTGGGTTGCTAACAGAATCAATTCAACTACGTCAGTAGCATCTCCCTTTGTGCATCTTGCAATTTCGGCCAGAGTAGAATGAAAGCGTTCCACTTGGTCATTACTTCGACTGTGAAGTGCTGGAACAGTAAACATAGAAATATTGAATTGNTAAAAACAAATTTAAAATTGCAACCCCTTTAATCTGTTCATATAACGTTTTTTTTTTATATAATCAACAGTTTTGCCGGTAAAAATACATGTATGAATTTTTTGCCTAAAATAATAAATTTTTTTTTAAAACTGTTGATTATATAGAAAAACGTTATATGAACAGATTAAAGGAATTGTAATTTTTAATTTTTTTTAATTGTTGTTGTTGTTTGAGCAAAATCGGACTAGTGGTTCTCGAGTTATGTCAAAAAAAGACCACCAAAGGTGACATATTCCCCTATATGATAGTTATATATATATCTCGATTCCTAGACGTGACCCAGCGAAACGCCGCGACACGTATAACTTGTTTTTTTACTGATATAACTTTCCCCGGTAGTTTGAACCCTTCCCGATCACTGACCCTTACCATTTGTCTCAAAGTGTTATCAGTGATAATCTGTTTAGTGTCGTAAAATTGCGAGATAATTTCAATGTGTGGATTTTTTACGTCTATTGTATTGCGAGACGCAATATTCTTTACCACAGCGAATTTTGAAAATTTATCTATGCATGTAATAAAATATTTCCCTCCTGTGTAATATATATCTATGTGAAGAATCTCTCCTGGTGCTTTAGGGATAGGCGTTACTCCTATAGGGTGCAGTATCGGTCTGCGTTTGTATTTATTTTCCCTGCAAATTTTGCAATTTTCGGCAAATGTTTTAACCATTTTTTTCATGTCTGGGAAATAATACTCGGCCAATATTTGTTTACAATTTTCATTGCTTTCCCTATGTGCT